GAGAGAGAGATGCTTCAATTGAATAACACTATTATTTTCTAGTGGCGTGCTTAGAACAAGACTTTATTGAATGGGAAGTCACATAAAAGCATAAATATGACTGTTTAGAAAACATAATGGTAGCGTGAGAAACCCAAACAAGAACCCTACAGGATTAAAGTAGGGTATTCGATGATGATTAAAAATTAATTTATGTTACTAACTGGTACCTGAGCTCGTAATTTGATAATTTCATCAGTAAGGCTGGCAACAGATTCCCCGGCTGAGGACTGCCACATTTCAACAGAAAATTAGAATGATATAATTATACCCATGGATATGCAGACTTCAGGTACTACACAATGCAGAAATATTGTTAAAACTTTAACTCACTACTAATACAATACAAATATGGTCAGTAAGTTCAAAGTGATTGGAAAAATTAGTAAATTCCTAATTCGGTTTGGAATGAAAAGAAAACCCGTTTACTAATGGAACTGTTTATAAACTGAAAATAAAACCCGTTCACTAATGGAACTGTTTATAAACTACATTAACAGCGTTTTTGGAGTTTCAAATCTTAAAAAAAAAAAGTTGTTACGTGCTTAATTAGTACGAAGTAATAATATACATTATGTCATTATAACGAATAAAAATGTATCGTATAGAAGCAACACTAGAATTACTCAAAATTTTACTCCCCGCCTAAGGTTTAATCAAGATTGATATAAGTGGCGTGTAAGCTTATAAAATTGCCTGTTGCCCCACAAGTGGCCAAATTTGTAGCAAATGAATTGATATCACACCAATATATTTTTGTTCAGTTAAGGCAAATTGTGTTACATCTCCAAAATAGTCCATATATACTCAAATGTATGAACAAAACCATGAAAATGGGGAAATTGTAACATACTATAAAAAACGGTGAGCTAGCAAGGACTTCGTCTGATAATAATCAAAGTCGAACAAGCAAGATTTCGTCAATGTCAAGACATCTCTCCTTTGATTATGGTTGTTCAAATACTTGAGATACATATGCTCCAAAAGCTTCTCATATTATGTATGATCACCATAATTCAGGCAAATTAACAAATCCAATGCACGCATGTGTAAACTCTTGATCCAGTTATTAGAGACTTGAAGAAACCAAAGGGAAAAAGAAGTTCGTTTTTGTCTTTATTTCTTGAACAGAAGCAAACCTAAAACAATTCACCCAAGAGAATCCCCAAGAACTCTTGTGCAAAACCAGAAACTAAAATTGCCCCAGTAATCATTTCTAATCTCATCATCGAGCTTCTTTCTAGCTTTGCAAAGTACTCATCGACAGTCACGGTACTAAACTTCTGTTCACCAAAATAAGGCATGAATAAACACAAAGTGAATGTCATGCGTGTGCGCGCGCGTGGGGATAAAGGAAAAATACAAATGCAAGGATGTGACAGTAGATTACCTTCAGCTCTTGAACTTCAGCAATTTCCTTTTCTAGTCTTTCAGACTCCTTCCATGACTTCTCCTCAAGCCTCTTTCAGCTCTACAACTGCATCTCAAGTAATAATAATCATAAA